TAAATCAAATGGTTAAAACCATGTTTTGGGTCATACTGTACTCTTATTTATATATAGGGTGATCCACCTAAAGCGGTTTCGTCCATAATTGTATTATACTTTTAATAAAAAAATGTTTGTATAAAAGTGTGTTCCATTTAAATTAACAGTGTTAGGTAGAAGAAATGGAACGCCCTGTATGACTGAAAATATTTTCTATTACTTTTTAATCTATACATCGAAAACGCGATCGACATCATTTAAGACAGTACAACTGTAGGTATAGATATAGAGGGGCGAAAGATTAGTATGGTTAGATTTGCAGATGATTTAGTAGTATTAGCATCCAGCAAGGAGGGGTTAGAGGTAGATTTAAATTAAATGGAAGCGGTACTGACAAAACAGTACTGTATGAAAATAAAAAGAAGTAAAACGAAAATACTGGTATGCAAGGGAAGAAGAAGTAGGGAAAGAGTGAATATAAATGATAGGAAACGAAAAATTAGAAGAAGTGGCTGATTTTAGGTATCTAGGAAGTCAGGTAAGTCAGGATGGAAGGAGTAGTAGGGATATAAAGCAGATAGCTCAGGGTCGAGTTGCCTTCAATGAAAAGAAGTCACTTCTATGCTTGCGAACGATTAATTTAAAATTTTGAAAATTATTGTTAAAGGTGTATGTTTGGAGAGCGGCGCTGTACGGGTGGGAACCATGGGCGGCGGGCGCGGCGGTAAAGAAAAAGTTAGAAGCGTTCGAAATGTAGTGCTACAGGCGAATGATGATACCGTGGATAGAGAAGGTTAAAAATGAGGAAGTATTAGAAAGAATAGGAAAACAGAGGGAGTTAATAAGAAATAGGCGAGATAGGTTGGTAGGACACCTTCTCAGGTATGAAAGTCTAGTCAGAATTAGGAGGAGTAGAGGTAGATCTAGATTAGCTTATTGCTCGCAAAATGTTAAGGATCTGGGATGTTATAGTTTTAGGGAAATGTGAAGATTAGCTCAGGATATGAAGGAGTGGAATGCGTGTTCAATCAGTCTTAATCAGACCTAATGTTGATGATGATACACTATATGATTTCAGACTGCTTTTATAAAAAAACACTTTTCATTGAAAGTATAATAACATAGTTATGAACGAAACCATCTTAGGCGGAACACCCTGTTGTATATGTATAATAGTTGTTGGTTTTACAAGAAAATCAAAAGGACTAAACAGATTGAAATTATGTAAATACTAAAAATTCAAAATCTCGCACTAAACGTTCAAAAACTTAATACACGTTTTAATATCCAATCTGTCATCCTAAATTAGCGTTTTCGGATTCTTAATGTGACTTGTTGGCAAGTATGTTTTTATATAAAAAAAAAAAAAAACCGTTAAGAAACTGTTATACCAGTAATATTAAATCAAATGGTTAAAACCATGTTTTGGGTCATACTGTACTCTTATTTATATATAGGGTGATCCACCTAAAGCGGTTTCGTCCATAATTGTATTATACTTTTAATAAAAAAATGTTTGTATAAAAGTGTGTTCCATTTAAATTAACAGTGTTAGGTAGAAGAAATGGAACGCCCTGTATGACTGAAAATATTTTCTATTACTTTTTAATCTATACATCGAAAACGCGATCGACATCATTTAAGACAGTACAACTGTAGGTATAGATATAGAGGGGCGAAAGATTAGTATGGTTAGATTTGCAGATGATTTAGTAGTATTAGCATCCAGCAAGGAGGGGTTAGAGGTAGATTTAAATTAAATGGAAGCGGTACTGACAAAACAGTACTGTATGAAAATAAAAAGAAGTAAAACGAAAATACTGGTATGCAAGGGAAGAAGAAGTAGGGAAAGAGTGAATATAAATGATAGGAAACGAAAAATTAGAAGAAGTGGCTGATTTTAGGTATCTAGGAAGTCAGGTAAGTCAGGATGGAAGGAGTAGTAGGGATATAAAGCAGATAGCTCAGGGTCGAGTTGCCTTCAATGAAAAGAAGTCACTTCTATGCTTGCGAACGATTAATTTAAAATTTTGAAAATTATTGTTAAAGGTGTATGTTTGGAGAGCGGCGCTGTACGGGTGGGAACCATGGGCGGCGGGCGCGGCGGTAAAGAAAAAGTTAGAAGCGTTCGAAATGTAGTGCTACAGGCGAATGATGATACCGTGGATAGAGAAGGTTAAAAATGAGGAAGTATTAGAAAGAATAGGAAAACAGAGGGAGTTAATAAGAAATAGGCGAGATAGGTTGGTAGGACACCTTCTCAGGTATGAAAGTCTAGTCAGAATTAGGAGGAGTAGAGGTAGATCTAGATTAGCTTATTGCTCGCAAAATGTTAAGGATCTGGGATGTTATAGTTTTAGGGAAATGTGAAGATTAGCTCAGGATATGAAGGAGTGGAATGCGTGTTCAATCAGTCTTAATCAGACCTAATGTTGATGATGATACACTATATGATTTCAGACTGCTTTTATAAAAAAACACTTTTCATTGAAAGTATAATAACATAGTTATGAACGAAACCATCTTAGGCGGAACACCCTGTTGTATATGTATAATAGTTGTTGTCAATGGTTATATCTCACCTACCCCACAACTGATTTTAAAATTCGAAGTTCAGGACATGTCTTACGATATCTTCTACTTATTTTAATTTTCTCTGGAAATTCTTCATCTACTTATTGTAATAGCAACTTTTCTTATACATACATTACAGACACACAAACAAATCGTCTTTACTATATGTTAATCACCTTTGAAGCTACAATTAATTAATTAATTTATTTATTTACAGATGCGTTCATGATGTTTAAGTTGACGATCGTGATTTGTTTTCTGTTCAACTATTTCGCCAATTCCCAAGACTTGGACAGCCAGATTCAAAGTTTGGTGGATCAGGTTTTCCCGAAACCTAACATCAGTAGTACAGACAACAGAAACAAAGACAATGAACAGACTGGCGTCAATCTACAACCCTCTGGCGATGGGCAGGACGGCCAAGACATGAGCTCATGCTTGTGTGTACCCTACTATCTGTGCAAGAACGGTTCCCTTATCAAGGACGGAGTTGGAATTATTGATATCAGGTAAATGACTAATAACCATCTCGTACAACTTGATACAAAACAAAAGTCGATTTACGTGATTCCCCTTTCCCTATAACTTAGCGGTTGGGTCCTCATTTTTATGCTAATAAGTTGGCAACTTTGAATACAAAACCGCTACGTTTGATTTGGACATTAATGTTAATTTGAAGTTCAGATGTTTAATTGGCAAAATCATTAGGAAATAACAAGTCATTGTAAAAGTAAGATGAAAATATGGAGTTTTCAAACAAAAGTAAGGTTGTGACTCTCCAGTAATTGTTATATCAAAACAAGTGCAACTCGGTACACGTGAAAGAAGTGATACTTCTTTGGCGATCTCTATACCTTTATAACGAATAAGTAATGATTGGTGAAAGAGAGAGTACGAGAATTTTCAGGATTTATGTTTTCCAACATATTTTATCTTTAGTCCACCTAAGGAGTATTACTTTAATACGTTTTTATGTAATTCAATAGCAAAAAAATGGTCAAATTTTTTTCAATTCCGTTTATTTTTCCAAGTGCTTCAGACTATCAATAACTACAAGGAAATAGAATTAATACATAATATTGCTCACTTTTAAATAAATATTAGTTGTTGTTAAATAAACATTTACTGTAATACACTTACCGTAATATAACTGCATAGTTAAAACTAAAAAATTTAGCACCATAGTATAGTGAATATACATGATACTATAATATATGAGATACGAGATACTGATCACTAACAGCTGACTGTAATACCGATATGCGCATGCGCGCGAGACGAAACGTTGCAAAACGTGTCGTTTCATGACTCAGATTTTACTCCCATCGAGCCCAGAGAAGTTTCACTTCAAAAATAACGAAAAATCGCAGAAAGATGTAATTATACTAGCTATCTTATGTTAATGTTAATTCTTTGAAAAAACAAAAATATGGACGAAATAGTTAAGATTACGGAGTGAAACTTTTTCTAGTAATATATGTTGTATTCTACATATATCCAATACCTGTCAAAATTACTATTCGGTGCATCTCTAGTTTTTATACACACATCTTTTAATCGGGCAAATTGTTAAACTGTTATTATGTATTATAATGGGACAGAAGTAGTATTTTTTTCGAGTATTGACAACACTAATTTTACAATGGGCGTCATCAAAAGATTGCCTAATAGGTGCACCAAAAAGGCTAAGAGGCCGGTATTTTCCTGCAGCATTTTGTGTAAATAATTTGTCTTTTTTGTCGGTTTTATTAAGTCACTGATTATTTTGATTTTCTCTGCTTGCATAGTCTTACTTAATAACTGGTTTTATCGTTTGGCATTGAAATGCTTGATGAGCACAAGAAAAAAGGTGCCTTTAGATAATTAAAAGTTAATTTATAAAGAAAGGAGCTTTTACAACTACTCAAAAATGAATAACAACAGCTTAAGTTTTCGTGATCATCATCATAAAGTCGTCAGTTCTAAGACTGGTTGGACACGCATTTCCCTAAAACTAGAACAATTCACATCCTTAACTATTTGCGAACAGTAATCTAATCTAGGTCTACCCCTACTCCTCTTAACTTCTGTTTCTGCTTCTAATATGACTCTGACTAGACCTTCATGTCAGAACGTGTCCTACCAACCTATCTCGCCTATTTTTTATTGAATTCCATAGAGTCCTCTGTTCTCCTATTTTTTTCTAATACCTCTTCATTTCTAACCTTCTCTATCCACTGTATCCTCATCATTCGCCGGTAATACCACATTTCGAACGTTTCTAACCTTTTCTTTTCCGTCGCGTCCACCGTCCGTGTTTCGCACCCGTACAGCGCCGCGCTCTAAACGTACACCTTTAACAATCGTTTTCGAATTTCTAAATTAACCGTTCGCGAGCGTAGAAGTGACTTCTTTTTATTGAGGGCGACTCGACCCTGCGTTATTCTCTGCTTTTATATCCCTACTACTCCTTCCGTCCTGACTTATCTGACTTCCTAGATACCTAAAATCGGCTACTTATAATTTTTCGTCTCCTATCTTTATATTCGCTCTTTCTCTACTTTTTCTTCGCTTGCAGACCAGTATTTTTGTTTTAATTTTATTAAAGTTCTCAAAGTATCAAAAATTTTCGACTTTATTTTCGTACCTCCGTTGAAAGGCTCATTCTCACTATCCGTCTACATGGTGGCAGAAACCTTTTTGTTGTACTCACATTATACAACAACTGACCTTCAGTCTCGGATGTTTAGCATGTTTTCGAAGCGTTGCTCAAAAATTACTCCCTTACTGATTGCTCTTTTACTTGAAGAAGAAGACAGGGAGTTGGAAAAGAAAAGAATGACGGCCTGGCAGTTTGTAGACCGAGGGGGGTATAGAACAAGAACATAATTCTTGACAGATTTTTCTGGTAATATTTTTGGAAATACTCATAAAAGCTCTAAAAATTTAACTTTTAACTGCTTGTACTTGAACACAACTAACACGAAGTGTCAATATAACTGATGGACCTTTTTTTTCTTTGTTCACGTACGCACCTATTAGGGAATCAGAACATGAAAAATAGTGGAACTCTACCTTGCGCATGCGTATTAATAACCTTCATTTTATACAAACGCTCCTAATTGACACGAACATCTGACTATCAGCCGCACATACTCAAAATAAAAAGAGATAGACGGCGCTTCTTTAATTTTTTCTGTTTTTTATTAAAAAATACTTTTCCATTGGGCTTTACTAATACTCTAATTCTGTTATTTAGTTGTGCGTTGTCTGTCAGTCAGTTACTTTAATACCCCATTTCATCCCTTTAGAGATGAAACTTTCTGCACTTCTAAGGTATTCAAACAATATTCCTTCCAAATTTTGAATCTATAAGTTTACCTCTTTACACTGGACGTAATATTTCAGTCGGTTACATTGACACACTTTTCCATTCCTTATGGAATTTAACTTGAAAAAATTCCTTTCGGTTCACTTCCAGATTCTAGAGTACTAAAGGAACATTTTCTCTAAATCACGAACCTCTAGGTCTACGAATGTAGGCTCCGCGATGTCTTTCAGTCGGTCACATTAACAGTCTTTTTTACCATTTTAGGGTAAAACTTTGACATTTCAAAAAGATGTCCCTGAGAAGTAGTCAAGGAATATTCTCCCAAATTTCAAATACATTGAGATAACATAATTTCATCATTATCATCATCATCACAGCATCTAACCAGTCCTAAGACACCCACCTTCACTCTTTCCTATCCTCAGCTAATCTTCGCATTACCCTAAAGTACATAATCCTAATAACCAATATTTTCTTTAAAGGGGTTTGTGAAATAACGTAGCGCAAATATTATTAGGTAAGGGTTTGTCAATAAATCTTGACTACTGATAGTAAAGAAGCAATATTACTTAAATTTCATGTGTTAAGAACGATTAAAAGACATATTATTGACTTTTTTATTTTTTATCATTCTAGAATTCAAGACAACCCTTGCTCAGATTATCTCGAAACGTGTTGCGGTTCGTCCGAAAGAGTGGTCGACCCCATCACCCCCAAACCAGATCCTGCAAAGACCATCGGATGTGGCCACCACAATCCTGAAGGCGTTGGCTTCCGCATAACGGGCAACAAAGACAACGAAGCTCAATTCGGTGAATTCCCTTGGATGACCGCCGTCCTTCGGGAAGAAGAACTGGAAGGACAATCCTCAAAACTGAACGTATACCAATGCGGTGGAGCCCTGATACATCGTCAAGTGGTCTTAACAGCCGCCCACTGTGTCACAGACAAAACCAAAAAGTTCAAAGTGCGTGTGGGTGAATGGGACACCCAAACAAAGAAGGAGCTCTACCCTCACCAAGACAGGAACGTCGAGAAGATAATGATACACCCAGAATTCTATGCTGGGGCGCTTTTCAACGACGTAGCGCTGTTGTTCTTGGAATCGCCGGTAGAGCTCGCCGAAAACGTCAACGTCATCTGCTTACCTCCTCAGGGTGCAGTGATTGACCACGCGAGATGCTATGCGAGCGGCTGGGGCAAAGACGTGTTCGGAAAGGAAGGGAAATATCAAGTCATTTTGAAAAAGATTGACCTGCCCATCGTGCCCAGGCAGCAGTGCCAGAACGCCTTGAGAACGACGCGTCTGGGAAAGTTTTTCGAGTTGCACAAGAGTTTCGTTTGTGCAGGCGGCGAGGCCGGTAAAGACACGTGCAAGGGTGACGGGGGAAGTCCATTGGTATGTCCGGTTGAGGGGACGAAAGACGTGTATCACCAGGTGGGGATCGTGGCGTGGGGCATTGGGTGCGGCGAGAACCAGGTCCCCGGGGTCTACGCGAACATTGCACTTTTCAGAGACTGGATAGACGAACAAATGGCCTACCATAATTTCGATAGGAATGTATATAGTTATTAAATGTAAGAAAATAAATTTTCTATTGTTTGGTTTATTATTGTAATCATTTTAATTAAATGCTTGCTTTACGCTTTCGACCGTCCCCGCAGCAACATCTGCTTAAAAAGAAAAACAGGCAGACAGACACTTGAGTGATCCCATAAACCGAGCGGCATGGCCTAGAGGTCTAGACCATTGCTTAGCATTCGGGAGGACGCCGGTTCGAATCCGGGTCCGTCTGCCTTGGTCCAAGTTTTTCTGTGGTTTCCTTGGATCACTTAGGCAAATGCTGAGGCAGTAATATTCCACAGATAATCTTTCACTCTCTTCTGTCTTCATTTCGTCCGTCTCATCTTTCTCACCCGAACCACCACCNCCCCGGGGTCTACGCGAACATTGCACTTTTCAGAGACTGGATAGACGAACAAATGGCGTACCATAATTTCGATAGGAATGTATATAGTTATTAAATGTAAGAAAATAAATTTTCTATTGTTTGGTTTATTATTGTAATCATTTTAATTAAATGCTTGCTTTACGCTTTCGACCGTCCCCGCAGCAACATCTGCTTAAAAAAAAGACAGGCAGACAGACACTTGAGTGATCCCATAAACCGAGCGGCATGGCCTAGTGGTCTAGACCATTGCTTAGCAGTCGGGGGGACGCCGGTTCGATTCCTTAAATAACTTTAAAACAATTCATTTTAAAATTATGAAAAAAACATATTTGAGACCATTACAACAAGCCCTTTCATTTGATATGTCACAGTATAATTTGCAAAATTATCCAATTGGCCCATCAAAAATGACCCCTATGTTCAAAATTAATTTATTTACGTTATGCGTTCGTGTGTCTGTCACGAACGATCCTATAAGGGTTCTGTTTTTCATTCGGACCAAGGGCACCATATACAAATTCCCGGGTATGTAAATAGTTTCGTTTTAAGTTTCCCTCAAAATGTAAATAATATTACAAATAAAAAAATTGTTTTTTTTTTTGGGATGTAACTACAAATTTACATTTTTTTCCTTTACTTATGCTATGAGACATTGTATCTTGTCAAATTTTATGATTCTAGGTCAAGGGGAAGTACCCTATAGGTTTTGATTGCGTTGGCTTAGAAGTTTCAGTTTTTTCAAAGCTCCAACGGATTACAGACTTAAGTATTTGAAAATAATTTCAACTTGATACCGTCGCGCTTTCTTAAGAAAAAAAGTTCTTGACAGACAGGCGAACAACGAAGTCATCCTGTTAGGGCTCCCTTTTTGCTTTTCTTTTTGGCACAAAATATGGAAGTGTAACAGTAAAGTAGCCTTATTTTTGAAAATAGCAGAAACTTTTATATACAAAAGTTGTTGAGAATTAAAAAGTAGATAGAAATATTCAACCGTGTCTACCGATTACGATTTTTAATATTTTTTGATACTTTTGCTGTATAAGAGGGAATATATGTACATTAACAATAATACAATTCTGATCAAAATTTTTGCATAAATGACATGTTCGTGTCTTTCACTGAATGTCAAATATTAATTTTAAAATAAAAAAAGCAATAACACCGATAACTTTGAGTTTGGAAATTTTAAATGTGCACTATCTACCACATTTAACATTATTTCAATTTTTTCTTCTACCTATCGAGTATGGAGTATGTTAATAACAGAAAGTGGACACTTTCCCAGATATTAAGGACTAATTAGAGACATACTAGACGTAGAAACAGGAGGAAAGAGATACCAAGGAAGACCTAGGATTGATTTCGGATGGTAAATAAGTAGTTAGGAGTTTGGGATGATCTAAATTTCAACAAATCCGAAGATATGTAAGGAACTCCAGATGAAGAGTCGAAGGGTGCTTGTTCAACCAACCTGATGACCATGTAATAATGATGCGTTTACATTTATCGATTCATTTTCGCATTATATAACATGCCAGTAATTATAGCACTGATTCCTATTTATGTATATTTAATAGCGAAAACAATAAACAAAATATCAGTGATTACGAGATGGTTTAAACATAATCACTCATTAGTAAAGTGACCTCGGAGGTCGAACAACTTTTAAATGTGAATAATTAAAGAACGTTTTTTTTTTCAAATTTGCGTAGGCTTTCACGGCCGGCTTCTAATGTGTGCTACGTTTTAGTTTTCTGGCCGATGTCTTTGGAAATCATTTTCGTCTGACGACTGCTGCTACGGCAGGTATTCTCAGGAGTTGCTTACCACCGTGAAAACAACGACGCCACCTTGAGAATGCTGAAACTGCACGCGAAACATCAGGAAATAATCTCCAAAGACAGCAGTCAAAAAGTTCGAAGACTTGGACGAAGCACAAGTTACTTTTTTGTCTTAAAACAAAATTGATTACGGTAAAAAATAGATAACAAAGTTAAACTAGTGATCCTTAAAACTGAATGAATTTTTTCATCGACGTCATGCATACGTAATCATCCCATTACAACACATGTACATATCTGTTTTCTCTATTCGATATTTCATTACTAAGTGAAATCTGCCCAGCTCCCTGGGAAAAATCTCTAGTTACGCCCATGTGTTTGGGGAAGCATTAATATGCTGCAATTAAAATTTCGAACTATTTACTCATCATCATCATAAGGTCATCAGTCCTAAGATTTCCATAAATGTTACCGAAAATGCATGAAATCCGTCATCATAGGGTCGAAAGCCCTAAGACTGGTTGGACACGTACCTCCACTCCTATCCTGAGCTAAACTTCGCATTTCCCTAAAACTAGAACAGCCCACATCCTTAACTATTTGCGAACAGTAATCTAATCTAGGTCTACCTCTACCCCTCCTAACTCCTGTTTCTGCCTCTAATATGTCTCTGACTAG